CTGCCTGATAACTTCAATGAAGCCAAATTCATTACATTCAGCATGCTCATATTCTGTGCTGTCTGGATCACCTTTATCCCAGCTTATATCAGTTCCCCTGGGAAGTTCACAGTAGCTGTGGAAATATTTGCAATTTTAGCATCGAGTTATGGGTTGCTTTTCTGTATATTTATGCCAAAATGTTATATAATTTTAATAAAGCCTGACAAAAATACAAAAAAACATTTAATGGGGAAAATGTCCTAAACATCACTGTAAAATTCATAATATATCTATGCTTATCTAGGTTTTCTGAAATATCTTACTGTATGTAATTTTATCTCAGATTAAAAATTCTAAATTGAAGATTATCTTCGACAGTCCATTCTTTCCCAGAAAAAAAATTGGGACATTAAAATTCACTGGTCATTCTTTTTACTTCGTAAATATCATATTCTATTACTCTGCTTTGGAGCTTGTTTAATTGTGTAGTTATGTGAACTAATGTATTACACCTTTTCTATATATTCCTCCTTTTAAAAGTCAGGTTTTCTTCCTCTGTTCTACTTTGTTACTTAATAAAATGACAAGCAATTCTGAAGCAAAGTTTAAAAAAAAAGTTGCATGAGTATTCTGCTCTAATAAAATAGATTTATAGATTGAAGTGTTTAGAAGATCAACATTGCTTGACAAACTGTCAGTCGCATGAGTTAAACAGCATTATCACAAACCAAACACTACTCATATTTTCTATTTCTCTGTATGATTCCACAATAAATTCATTAGATATCCTCTGATTGTGTAGCTTGTTTATTTAGATTTATCTGCTTAACCAAAAATGAAATCTAAAATAAAACCACAAAATGAGCCAACGTTTTACATATCTGTGCAACACTAAAATAAAACCAAAGTGTTGCATGATGTGTAAGTGTGCAAAGAATGAATGTAAAAATTGTATTAAAGGATATAAGAAAGACTGTTAACAGGACGTTTGGCCTGTGTCTGTCAATTGGATATTCCCAAGTATATTTTAATTAGATAATTACAATTACATTTATTTTTGTCATATTTATTACCTAATGACGCTAGGTAACTGAAGATCCCATCGCTACTTTCTTGAATGTACTGCATACTGTACGTGTAGCGTGTTCTAAAAATAACTTGCATTTCCTGCAGTTTGCCTGTTTAAAACAACATGCTACTGTACCTAGCTGTCAAAAGGGAGATAATGATAATAATAATAAAAATCCTTACAATTATGTACAGTAGCCCTTGTTGATACAAAATAATAATTCCTTAGACTTAACGCTTTTCTGGACACTCCACTCAAAGCACTTTTAAGACTGGGGACTGCCCCCCAGTATCAGCATGTGGATGATGCGATTGCCACCAACCTGCACCTGTAGGCTCACCACACATCAGCTATCAGTGGGGATGAGAACAGGGTGATGAAGCCAGTTCACAGGTGGGGATTATAGTAGGCCAAAATTTAATAAAGGCCAATGGGAAATATGGCCAGGATACCAGAGTAACACCCCACTCTTTTTGAGAAACGCCCTGGGATTTTCAATTATCACAGAGTCAGGACCTTGGTTTTATGTCTCATCCAGAGGACAGAGCCTTTTCTACAGTATAGTGCTCCCATCACTACACAGGGGCATTAGGACCCACATAGAGTGCAGGGTAAGCGCCCCCTACTGACACCACTAATACCTCTTCTGGCATTCCAGGAGATCTCCCATTCAGGTACTAGTGGAGTGTCCAGAAAAGCACTTTTAGAAGTGTAAGCAATTATTATTTTGAAGCCATTAGCAGTTTAGTCTGGTTACTGATAGTGAGGGACACAAGAAGAAGACCAGTTAGAAGCTCAAAAAAGTGCTAGACTTTTTTTAGAAAGGTTGTGATTTTCAATCAAACACTGTATAACATGCACTAGTTTGGTAACTTACAGCTGTGTTTTGTGTCTGTTTTCCTGGTGACCTGTTTATTGGAAGATCACTTGTTATGGCGTCATAACTGCTGTGTGTGTCACAATAAATGAATCAATATTCACACTCATAATAATTCACATCTATCCAAACAGATTTTTTTCTGTCAGGAGACACCTCACTTAGGTGTCAAACCAACCTGTTGACAACACTGAAGCCTTCTGCATCGGCTGCCCACTACAGAACAGATAAAAAAAAGTGGTGTAAGGAATTATTGCATCATTTGAACTGAAGTGGACATTAATTGGAGAAGGCAAAACTGACTCTCAAAAATAAAGGTATTTTAAAGACCATAAATATTCAGGACTTTATCACATTTCACTTAAAGAACAGGACATCCTGCAATATAGTCTCCACTATCATCCTAGAAACCAGTAGAAAGAACATACTTCTCCTATAAGGAACATACTAGGAACAGTATGTTCTTCTTTAGTTTCTTAGACCTGGGTGAAGGGGGGGTGTGAGCTGGCTAGCAGATCATTGGACAAGACTCTTCAAGAAAAATCAGTCTTTTTTTTCATTGATCTTAATTAGTTTAATTAGCTTTTGGCTTCTTCCTTCTAAAAAATTCATTTTAATTTACATTTCTTTTGTATCTGAAGTTACTAGTACTGTATTATGCTTCAGCGCCTCTATTCAACTACAATATGGATCTTTTTAAAGATTGTGTACACCAACAATAACAAGCAGCAGAGATCCATCCTACTGGGATAGAAGCTTAAAAAAAAATAGAGCTTCTAGGAGACATTAACAAACATATTTATCATCTCATACCTTCATGATACATGAGTACAATTATTTTTTCACTTTGAGTTGATTAATGCATAGTTCTCACCTCTGAGAATAGGTGCTTTGGTGCGAGTGTGAACATTGCTTCATGTTAAGCATGGGAGATTTGGAAAGAGGCATATAAGTGCTGTGAAGTAAACAATTGTAACTTCAGACCAGAGTGGAAAGAACACTTTGCAATGCTGCTCCTTGCTGAAGTGGTATTAATTGCCATTTTTACAAGAGCTCAAAGGCCTATTTGTGTGCCGTATGGAACACAAGAACTGCCTCAGTTTTCAAAAGAAGGAGACATCACAATAGGAGCTATTTTTTCATTTCATAAAAGCCCTATTATTACAACACCAACATTTAAAATCAAACCAGGACAGATTGTTTGCGAAGGGTAAGTGATTTCTTTTTCTTTTTTTCCTGTACAGTATATCTAGGTTGTACATCTTTTGGAATCATATACAGTGCCTTGTGTAATCTCAATGATAAGAGATTTTCATAAAACTTATGAGATTTAAAACTTAAGTTAATTTAATAATTAAATGTCAATTCATGTCAATTGATCTTCTCTGCAGATTAGCTCCCGCAGACTTGCAGTATGCTCAGACTCTGATTTTTACCATTGAAGAAATAAATAACAGTACAGACCTTCTTCCTGATGTTTCCCTGGGCTATAAGATATACGATTCCTGTAGCTCATTGAGTAAGGTTGTACAAGCGTCACTGGAATTAATGAATGGACATGAGAAAGGATTTTTATCTAACCAGTCCTGCACCAAGAGTCCTAACGTTCAAGCAATTGTAGGACACTCTGGTTCCCAATCTACAATAATCATTTCAAGAATGGTTGGACCTTTTCATATCCCAGTGGTGAGAAAAAAATATTAATTTTAACATACAATCCATCCATTCTGAAAAAGTGTTGCATTGTCAACTCCAAAATAAATATATTCTCCAAGGCTTTACACATATAAGTACATTTATAAGCACATATATACATATATATGTATCATACTCTAAGTACAATAATAGTACTTATGACTTTTCTACTTGGCCCTGTAAAAGGTGTTGATTTACCACTTTCCTTTTTATGTGGTAAGTCAGCTATTTATATGTCCAGTGTGTGAAATGTGTTAGTATTAAACAAAACTCTTACAATTCTAAGAGTGTTAATTCCAAAACACAAAACCTCAGGTTATTATAAAAAAATCCAGCTATGTTGAAAGTCTTCATTCACAAAAGATGTTCTTTGACTTTGAAGTAACAGAAACATTTCTTCTTTCCTTCAAATTGAAATTTGATTGGGTCTGATGTTTGATAACCCTGAAAGACGCAGTGCCTTATTCTCGGTTTGTGAAAGCAATTACAGTGCTTATAAGTGTATATAACAAAATGTCATTAATTATAAATCTCCTTACCGCATGTGTATGAATTTCATTTTCTTTCAATTATTTTTTTATATTGCAGTGTGAGTCTCAGTCTGGATTTATCTTGGTTTAATCTTTCAAGGCATGTTGTTAATTAATAAAAGAATACTAGCATCTTATTTTGCTGCATTTTTTTATTTAATCTTCTTATTGTTCCTGCAGATCAGTCACTTTGCTACCTGTGCCTGTCTCAGTAACAGAAAGGAGTTCCCCAGTTTCTTCAGGACAATTCCCAGTGATTATTACCAAAGCAGAGCCCTGGCAAAGCTTGTGAAGCACTTTGGATGGACCTGGGTTGGGGCCATTAGAAGTAACAATGATTATGGCAACAATGGGATGGCTACCTTTGTACAAGCTGCTCAGCAAGAGGGGATCTGTATTGAATATTCAGAAACCATTTACAGAACTGATCCGAGGGAGAAGTTTCTGAAAGTTGTAGAAATTATTAAGAAATCTTCTTCAAAAGTAATTGTTGCCTTTGCAACACATACAGATTTGAGAGTTTTAGTAAAAGAGCTGTTCATTCAGAACATCTCAGGCTTTCAATGGGTGGGCAGTGATCCTGGATTACAAATAGTTTCCTTGCACTACAAGAAGGTTACACAGTCCTGGGTGGAGCAATTGGCTTTGCAATTCCAAACACAGAGATACCAGGATTGAAAGAATTTATTCTAAACACTCGTCCATCAAACACACCTGGAAACACTGGCTTAAATGAATACTGGGAGAAAGTCTTCAGTTGTAGTCTGACATCCAAAAAAGGGACAAATGTGAAGCAATGCACAGGAAATGAGACTTTGAAAGGAATAAATGATCAATACACTGACGTGTCCGAAGTGAGGATATTAAATAATGTGTATAAAGCAGTGTATGCTGTAGCTCATGCACTGCACAATCTCTTTACTTGTCAAGATGGAGACGGACCCTTTAATGATAAACAATGTGCAAATAAAAAGAATATTCAGCCTTGGCAGGTATTGGATCACATCATAATTTAGCTTTTCAGCTTGCAACATAAATCTAATAAATTTTGATATCAGCTTTTTTTCCTCTTTAAATGTAGGTGTTACATTACATCAACAAAGTTAACTTCACCACCAAGAACGGAGAAATTATCTACTTTGATAAGAATGGGGACCCTGTAGCACGATATTCATTAGTAAACTGGCAGCTGAACAAGGGACGAATTGCAACCTTCCAAGTTGTTGGTATATATGACGCTTCTTTACCAGAAGGACATCAGTTTGTAACGAATGGTGTCAGTGCTGTGTGGGCAGGTGATCAGGTTACGGTAAGACATTTCCTCAAATGTTCCTTTATTACTATTTATCTCTCTCTGGAAACCAAGGCTGTAATCAACAGCAACTTTGTAGCCTTTTGTATGATCTTGAATGTTAAGCATTCTGCATCATCTTGGATGTCATAGGCCTGATCAGTACTTTAATGGAAAATCTCCAAGGAAAAACAAATGGTTTCCTCTCTGTTCCACAATTTCCACATTAATGCCCCAATATGATGGGAAACCATCCAGACTAGACACCGTGCTCCCAATGAGGCATTAAACTAAGCCTTTAACATTAAACTTAAACTACAATGTTATAAAGAGTAGGGATATTAACCCTGGTGTCCTGGCTTAGTTATGAACTGAGCCTATAAAACCAAGACTTATTAGGTTTCCCTGTTAATTCAGGTGATAAGTGTGTGCTACTGTATGTAATGAGTTATAATGTCTGCCACATGTCACCCAGGTTGTTACACTTCAGCAGTAGTACAGTAATTGAGGTGAGGAAGCACCTATAAATTACTTTTTAGGCAAAAAAGAACTGAATAAATGGAATTTAGTAAGTGTATTATTATTATTATTATTATTATTATTATTATTATTATTATTTTGTTACTGTTGTTAAACATGACTTATTTTTCTGCTTCAGGTTCCAAAATCGGTCTGCAGTGAGAGCTGCCTTCCAGGGACTCGTAAGGCCATTGAGAAAGGGAAGCCAGTCTGCTGCTTTGTCTGCATCCCCTGTGCAGAGGGAGAGTTCAGCAACACTACAGGTATGAAGTGGCAATGCAGCAGATGAGTCAATCAGTAAAACTATTTATTGAGCTGTTGTTCATTTAAAACTTGTCACCTGAAATGCATACTGGTTCCATGTGTCAAAAATGTTATAAACAGTAACATTACTGATGGCACCAATTGGAAACTTATTCCATGCTAACATAATCCATATTTAAGCTGCATTTGCAAAATTATTTCTTCAAGCAATTTTAAAATGTAATTAAATTAAATCTCACCACTGTTGTCAGTGAGCCAGATGTGTTCTTTTGCTCATGAGTTAAAGTCATGAGGAGGATATAGAAAGTACAGCAGGTAAGCAATTATGTATAAAAAATAAAAACATTTATCTGTAATGAGTATACTTTTTTCTATTTTCAGATGCAGTGGACTGTTCTAGGTGTCCTTTCGAATTCAGATCAAATGAACAACGAAATCAGTGCATCTTAAAAAACATTGAGTTTTTATCTTTTGGAGAATTAATGGGGATACTTTTAGTAGCATTTTCATTGCTTGGAACTTTCTTAACCACAGCAATAGCTTTAATCTTTTTCCAGTACAGATCCACTCCCATTGTTAGAGCCAATAACTCTGAACTGAGTTTCCTTCTGCTCTTTTCATTGACACTGTGTTTCCTCTGTTCACTTACTTTCATTGGCCAGCCCTCTGACTGGTCCTGTATGTTGCGCCACACAGCATTTGGGATCACATTTGTCCTGTGCATCTCTTGTGTTCTGGGGAAAACAATAGTGGTGTTAATGGCCTTTAGGGCTACACTGCCAGGCAATAACATTATGAAATGGTTTGGGCCCAAACAGCAGCGCTTAAGTGTTCTTGCTTTCACACTCATACAGGTCTTGATTTGTGTTCTTTGGTTGACAATTTCACCTCCTTTTCCGAACAAGAATATGAACTACTACAGAGAAAAAATTATTTTAGAGTGTGATTTAGGATCAACAGCTGGATTTTGTGCTGTGTTGGGGTATATAGGATTTCTCTCTGCTTTGTGCTTTGTGCTCGCTTTCCTGGCTCGGAAGCTGCCTGATAACTTCAATGAAGCCAAATTCATTACATTCAGCATGCTCATATTCTGTGCTGTCTGGATCACCTTTATCCCAGCTTATATCAGCTCTCCTGGGAAATTTACAGTAGCTGTGGAAATATTTGCAATTTTGGCTTCTAGTTATGGGTTGCTCTTCTGTATTTTCATACCAAAATGTTACATTATTTTATTAAAGCCAGAGCAAAATACAAAAAAACATTTGATGAGTAAAATGCCCTCAAAATCACTTTAATATTGTCTTTTTATTTATATATATTACATGCATACTCATGGTAGTTTCAGAACATGCTGTCCTTAATTAAAATGAGTGAAATAAATATTCCTTTCCATTACCTTGTTAAAAATGGTATGCAAACTGGGGTTTGTAATTTTTTTAATAGAAGAAAAATGTTCTTTCTTAAACTGTATTGTGCATGCTGCAGTTTAAGATTATTATAATTTTTAATTATTTATACTTTTGGTTTTGGAAATGAACTTCTAGGTGTATGTTCATATCTATCTGAATATTCGTTCCAGAAGCAGCTTTTCACAATATATAAGAAATTCCTGAATTAATGTTTTGTAATTTTTAATTTAGTTTGTATGTCAGAATTAAATTATCTTTCAGTTTTTGCTGTTGGCCTTATTTTCCGTTTCATTCAATGCACTTTTTGACATTCTATGCAATCAGTTAAGCTTAATGCACCTGCTGAACACTGTAGAATTGATCATTATTAATCATTAAAAAATAATACTCAGAGAGCAGAGACAGAAAACATTGGACTTAAATGTTTCATATCCAATATTTCTCATTCATTTATTGTAAAGAATGTTGTTTGTTGCAGCATTTAACAATAATATACATTAAGAGGTTATACTGTACATGGGTTTATGGAACACCTCATGGATTTATTCCATAATGAGAGAGAAAGGACCAAAAAATGTAATTATTGAACAAATTCAATACATAACATTAAAATGCTCTTTTGTACTGTAGCCATGTATTGACAGCTTTTAATTGCTATTTTTATCTTTTTTTCTTTCTTTGCTTACCACCCTGTCTTTCTCACACCTGAAGGCGGCTCCACGGCCTCTTTTCAGCGTGGAATAAACCCTATTACTTGTTCCTTTGCAGCCTACGCAAGCTGACGCAGCTCCCCACCTGAACTCATTTAATGATTAGCTTAGATACCACCAAACCCAAAACTTAAAACCTTTTAGAAAAATGATGAATATGTTAAGTCAAAATACTGTACTGTCTATAGCTGTCTAGCATTTCATTTTAAGAAGCAATGTGAAAACTGGAAATTTACAAACTTTAATAAAATATTCTAGGAACACTGTTCTTCTCTTGCCTCATGACTATTATTCAATAAGATTTTATGTATACATCGAGAGATAGTCTTTGAAAAACTATACTGTAAAACTGTTCTTGTTGATAAATAGGCACAGTACTGAAAACACTTACAGTATAATAATAACTCTTGAGCAAAAAAAAAAGTAATCTTTACTCTTGGTAAAACTATCATCAACTGACCCCAATTCTAAATTTAGTATGTTTGTTTGTGTGAAAGGAAGAGTTAACATAGCAAACTGGCATCCTCACCATACTGTATTGTGTATTCCAGCCACAAAATTCTGTGTCACCACAATACAGCACAAAATGTGATAACCCACCACAATGGTGTGAATAATGACAACAGTTACTGTGTTATATTATTATAAATGATAATAGTAATTATTATTATTCTACTGCTTATTTGTAGTTTGCTCAAAGAGTTGCCAGGCTGCTGGTGAGCCGTCGCACCTTCCCAGTGTCAAAAGCCCTTGATACTTCACACCCAGTACACACAAGTCATGTAATGTGCACATCAGACAGCTAAAAATTTAAACCGAATGTTTCCGATTGTTCCTTTTTGCATGTGGTATCCAGAACATTTGCAGCAGACCCATACTCTCTGGAGTTAGTCAGGTGGTCTCAAATAAACTTATTTTTTAATCATGTTGTTGTCCACCACAAAACAAGCAACACAGCTAAAACCTACTGGGGAATAACAGCACATGTAGCACTAGGGAGAAGGCTCTATGAGCAATTAGCAACAGACAGTTTATCTGTCTCTCTTCTATAATAGTGTGTGGCTTTTTTAATAGATTAAAAAGTGAACTCACCTCGTGAGATTTGGTGTGCATTTCAGTTTTGCTTTGTGTTTGTCATGGGAGATCTAAGCTGAAGTATATAAGTGTTTCAGAGTTAATAGTTGGAGCTCCAAACAGAGGGACGTGAACCCACTGACATGTTGCTGCTTGCAGGAATAATTTTAGCCACATCTGTCGCAAGTGCTGAAAAACCTGTTTGTCAGCCGTATGGGTCACAAGAATTGCCTCAATTTTCAAAGGAAGGGGACATCAAAATAGGAGGAATTTTGTCATTCCATAAAAATCCTATTATTTTGAGGCAAACATTTAAAGTAAACCCAGGGAATATCAAATGCGAAGGGTAAGCAATATTTTCAAACACTTTCTTTCCTGAGAGTATATGATACATTTCACTTGAATTGCGGATATATGGATTTCAATTAAGTATTGTGAATATTGCAATAGTATCTGTGATAATAATTATAATAACAGATGTTACAGATAATAACAGATAACAAAAGCACTTTTCTTGCAGGTTAAATCCAGGAGAATTACAATATGCGCAAGCTATGATCTTCACAATTGAAGAAATAAATAACAATTCCGACCTTCTTCCTGATGTTTCTCTGGGTTATAAGATATATGATTCCTGTCGCTCTGTAGCTTTGTCTATAAAAGCATCACTGGAGTTAATGAATGAGAAGGAAATAGATCCTCTGTCTGACCTGTCCTGCACCAAACCGGCAGATGTCCAAGCAGTCATAGGAGACTCCAGTTCAACACCAACAATAGGAATTGCAACAACTGTTGGACGTTTTCATATACCAATGGTGAGAATCTACTTAAGCACAAGTAATTCTTGCATTAATGAACATTATTTCTAAATCTAAAAAATGTTACTTTTTATTTACATTTGTATTATTTTGGTGTAATTTCCATTCGGTATTTTTAAGATAACAGTAGGAAAAAGAAAATAAAAAAAAGTATATGTAAGGTTCACATTTTATGCACTTGCTTCACATTATTCTCACTTTTTTTCACTGCTGTAGATCAGTCATTTGGCTACCTGTGCCTGTCTCAGTAAAAGAAACAAGTTTCCAACCTTCTTCAGGACAATTCCCAGTGATTATTACCAAAGCAGAGCGCTGGCAAAGCTTGTGAAGCACTTTGGATGGACCTGGGTTGGGACCATTAGAAGTGACAATGATTATGGCAACAATGGGATGGCTACATTTGTTCAAGCCGCCCAGCAGGAGGGGATTTGCATTGAATACTCAGAGACAATTTACAGAACCGATCCAAGAGATAGATTCCTTAAAGTTGTAGATGCGATTAAAAAATCAACCTCAAAAGTAATTGTTGCATTTGCAGCTGATACAGATATGGATGTATTAATTAAAGAACTATTCATTCAGAACATTACAGGTTTCCAGTGGGTGGGCAGTGAAGGATGGATAACATATGGATACCTTGCTTCATCTGAAGGCTATAAAGTCCTGGGTGGGGCCATTGGCTTTGCAATTCCAGAAGCAGAAATACCAGGTTTTAAGGCATTTATTCTAAATTCACAGCCATCAAATATACCTGGAAACACAGGCTTAAATGAGTTTTGGGAGAGTATGTTCAACTGTAGCCTTATTTCCAAAACTAGTGGGAAAACTAAACCATGCAGAGGAACAGAGAATCTAAAAGAAATAAATAACCAATACACTGATGTATCAGACATGAGGATATTGAATAATGTACATAAAGCAGTGTATGCTATAGCCCACTCATTACACAATCTCCTGAAATGCACAAATGAGCAAGAAACTTTAAATGGCAAGACATGTGCAAACAAAAGTAACACAGAACCATGGCAGGTAAAGGAATGTACTATACTTTATGCATTTTAACCCCAAGCAAAGATGACATAATCTGACAACTCATTTTCCTTTACATGTAGGTGCTTCAATACTTGTCAAGAGTTAACTTTACAACCAGGAGTGGAGAGAAGGTGTATTTTGATGAAAATGGGGATCCTGTAGCACGATATGCAATAGTAAACTGGCAGCAGAACAAGCAGGGAATCACCACTTTTCGTGTTATTGGTCTATATGATGCTTCTTTACCAGAAGGACAACAGTTTGTAATGAATCGCGTCAGTGCTGTGTGGGCAGGTGATCATGATGAGGTGTGCTATTGTCCCTGAATTCAGAAAATCCTAATAGTATTTTTTTATGAGTATGAGATACTGTATGTTTGATCATTTTTGGTGTAGCTGTATATTAAGCTTCATTATCAGTTAGTCTCACCCTGTTTCAGGTGCCGAAGTCGGTCTGCAGTGAGAGCTGCCTTCCAGGGACTCGTAAGGCCATTGAGAAAGGGAAGCCAGTCTGCTGCTTCATCTGCATCCCCTGTGCAGAGGGAGAGTTCAGCAACACTACAGGTATGACATGGCAATGCAGCAAATCTATTGAGTCAATCACTAAAACTATCTATTGAGCTGTTGTTTAGCAAGTAAAAATTAAGTCTGGTGATATCATCAATGATATCTGAGTTTGTCATGGAACATGGCACATGTCTCATGCTTAAAATATCTTACCACTTTTATATTCATTATGACTATATTCAGTAATATCACAGATAAGCAATCAAAAGAGACAATTTAGTTCTTCTTGCATCTTAGTATATTATATACTCACTGTAAAGAAATATATACAGGTAGGAGCCACAATCAAATTACAGATTTTCTTAAAGGACCTAAATCCAGTTCCAACCTTTTGTTGCTGCTTGTGTTTTCTGAGGTTTTATAGTACTGTATATAAGATAGAATTATAGAATTTATAAAATTGTATCTTCAACATACAATATATAATAACATGATACAAAATATACAATTACATCATTTGTGATCACTGAGTACATATTTCTTGAACTACTAAAAAAAATCACTTGATAACCGACTTGTGATCAGTGAGCTATGTGGTTTCAACTACATTCCAACAACTGGTATTCGATCAGAATGAATAATTTTCCATTTAAATTATACATACAGTATAGTAATTTTTACATATTTATAATTTTAGATTAAAATTAGGCCTATAGTATAATGCAGGCATTTAAAGAGGAAAGAAACAACACAGGAACAAAAATAATTATACAATATTCTTTTTTTACTTTCAGATTCATTGGAGTGTTTTAAGTGTCCTTTGGAATACCGATCAAATGAAAATCGAAATCAGTGCATTTTAAAAAGCATTGAGTTTTTGTCTTTTGGAGAAATAATGGGAATACTTTTAACAGTATTTTCTTTGCTTGGAACTTCTCTATCTATAGCAATAGCTGCTATTTTTTTCAGATACAGATTTACTCCAATAGTAAGAGCCAATAATTCTGAACTGAGTTTCCTTCTGCTCTTTTCATTGACACTGTGTTTCCTCTGTTCACTTACTTTCATTGGCCAGCCCTCTGACTGGTCCTGTATGTTGCGCCACACAGCATTTGGGATCACATTTGTCCTGTGCATCTCTTGTGTTCTGGGGAAAACAATAGTGGTGTTAATGGCCTTTAGGGCTACACTGCCAGGCAATAACATTATGAAATGGTTTGGCCCCAAACAGCAAAGGTTAAGTGTTCTTGCTTTCACACTTGTACAGGTATTAATTTGTGTTCTTTGGTTGACAACATCACCTCCTTTTCCCAACAAGAACACAAAATATTATGCAGAGAGAATCATTCTGGAGTGTGACCTGGGATCTGCAGGTGCATTCTGGGCTGTGTTGGGTTATATAGGATTCCTCTCTGCCATGTGCTTTGTGCTCGCTTTCCTGGCTCGGAATCTGCCTGATAACTTCAATGAAGCCAAATTCATTACATTCAGCATGCTCATATTCTGTGCTGTCTGGATCACCTTTATCCCAGCTTACATCAGCTCTCCTGGGAAGTATACAGTAGCTGTGGAAATATTTGCAATTTTGGCTTCTAGTTTTGGATTGCTATTGTGTATTTTTACACCAAAATGTTATATTATTATATTAAAACCAGAGAAAAACACGAAAAAACATATGATGGGTAAGGTGCCTTCAAAATCACTCTAAAATACAATTTTTGCATGTATAAGACCCAAAATTCAGATTTTACCAAAAGTAAATACTACATTTCTAATTCTACCCATACTAATATTTATTTAAAGAAATTTCTAAGAAATATTAAATAAAAGTAATTCTTAAATCAGTAAAGGAAAAACTATACATAGTAATTGCATATTAAATCTGTTACTTCTGATGCTGTGTCTAACGTCACAAGTATTTGAATAACTCTCAGGTTGTAAATTTTTAGGTGTTAACTATAAAATACAGTTTCTGTAGCCCCATCTTGAATATTTTCTTATTGGATCTAGATTTTACACAGGATCTTTCAGTTCAATGGAAAAACACTTTGAATGCACCAACTTATAAATATTATGAGGGAATTAATGTTTCCAATTTAAGGCCCATTATTATTTAACCCATTATTAAAAAATATAACTTATTTTTATATAGGACTAGGATCTAACACAATATTACTGTCCTTTTGACTTCACATTCTACTATAATGGAATAACCCATAGACTTGACAATTAATTCAGTTTCATTAAGCATTGGTTAAATTTATATTTACCCTAGGCGTAACAGTTACCAGCAATGAACTAATTTCTATTTTTGTATCTTTCAAGAATCTTGTCTCACCTTAAAAAAAAGAATAGTGAATAAAATGAAATTTTCTTTGCTAAAATATGTTTATTTGTAAAATGAATCCTATTAAAAACATTTCATAATGTCTTAAAATGACATCACTACAGTCCAAAATGAAATGTATGTGTCAACTGTGAAGCAGTTGAATGTTTTTGCAATTCTAATGTTCTTACTGTATGTTTGTAGTTATGTTCTTGTAATTGTCTTGTATTTTATGTAATTCCACTTTTAATTTGCATTGTTTGCAGGATAGGACCTCATTTTAAATCAGCCTTGTGGGTTAACTTGGGCTATTAGGAATTGGACTGGGTATTATACAGTATACAGTATACAGTATGTCGATTTATTTGACTCTTAACCACTGTGTAAATGAATCAAGATAAAACATAAGAAGAAAATGTGTAATTATAGGTTTCATACAGTAACTACAGCAAGACTGACAGCTCTGCATGGAAAACTATTGACCTAAATGGAAATTCTCAAAAAGACCTGATGTCTGACCTCCTGACAAATGTGTGTCCTGATCTTCAGCTATCCAAAACTCTAGTTCCTTGCTTTCGGTTCGCCTGGCACTGCTTCTCACACTGGGCAAGTTGGAGCAGTGTGTTGAGGAATCTAGTGGAAGAGGTATCTTCCTTCTGGGCCTCAAGGACTTCTTGGAGCTTTCAGCTCGGCTCTCAGGAGAGGGGGTTTCTTGAAGAACTGGAGTTGGGAAACTAAGTTCAGTAAGTTTACACCCTGTTATCAGGGAGGATGGGTTAGGAATCAAGTAACGTAAAATCTGTCCGATATTCCAGAAAAAAATTATGTATAGTTTTTAAGCGTTACAGAGACATCATGGATGGTTGTCCTCGCTAGTCCTTCCACAAGCGCCAGGTGCAGCATGAGGTTTCCTCCTGGCTCTCTGCTTCCCACTGCTGAGCCACAGCATGTGATAATGACCTCTCCCTGCACCTCTGAAGCCAGACTGGTCTTGCTCCCACCTGGTTACAGCAGCATAGTGTGTATGAAGAAATCAATCCGCCATGTTTGCTCTGCTAGCGGCCCTACTTCTTCTATTTTTCTCTGCATTTAACTAACTCTTAAATATCAACTAGTTGATAAAAGGGATGCATGATTCCTGACTGCTCTCCAGTGCTTCCACAAGACTTGGACAACATCGTTCACACAGCTGTCTTCTTCCCCTGCTGCATTTGTTTGTTTTTCTGTACCCAAATAAGTTTCTTTGGTTTACTTTGACACAGTATGTGCAACTGATTATATTTTGATTTAGTTTAACGAACATTTGAATGTTTCCATTATTTCTCTTCATTGTATTATTATACAATAGGTTTGATGTACATAATTAATCCTTATGCAATAGTATTCAGGTGGCTTGTGTGATTTGTGTATTAAAAAGGTATGACTGTATTATTATTTTTGTATTGTGCCACTTTCTATTTAAAAGCAATCACTTAAAAATAATTAAGATTAATGAATCGAAAGAGGGACTGAAAGTGAAGGGATTGTCAAATAAGAAACAAAAAAACAGTGTTGGCTGTGAAGTACAACCGTAAGAGCAACAACAGTTTCAATAGCCCTTGAGGTATTTTAAAACACAGTAAAAACCTACCGGCACAGGAGCTGCTGAAATATTTGTATCATCAAATAATAAAACAAGGAGCCAAAGTAAAAGTAAAAGTAAAACCAAAACAATGTTAGCCGAATTGTTTGATCTCTTCAGGAAAACGTGTGGAATATCAGGAGAACACGAAGATCATCACCCCTACAGGCCCATTTACTGTACATGTCAATATGGAACAATTAGGAGGGATGACAAATAATATAAGGAGCCGAAAAAGACAGATGAGTGAATTAGATCTTAACCAAAAGTTGTTGTATCTGGGTTTAGATTTCCTCCAGAACCTGCATCTTTCTTTTCTCCAATGTTTCAAATACCTTGCACTGCACATTCTCATTCTAGTTATGCAGAAGCAGTAGTATTTTTTCACAGTAGTAGTTTATTTTTTTATTAAGTATCACACAACTCGAAGCACAGTTAAAATCCACTGGGAAATAAGGACAAATAAGGTACAATGCATGAGCAGGGCTAACTAGTAACAAACAGATTAACTGGTTCAGACTTGATTATTCATTTCTTGTTTTCTATCTCTTCTGAACTCTCCTCTGAGAGTTGATGCTTTGAGACAAGCCTGAATGCCGCTTCATGTTAAGCATGGGAGATTTGTATTGCAATATATAAGTCCCTTGAAGTATGAAGTAAATGATTTTGGCTCAGTACAGGGAGAGGAAACACCCTGAGATGTTACTGTTTATAGAAGTTACATTAATTGCTTTTCTCACAAGTGCTGAAAAGCCCATTTGTCTTCCATATGGAACACAAGACTTACCTCTCCTTTCAAAAGAGGGTGATATCACGATAGGAGCCATTTTCTCATTTAATAAAAATCCGGATATTGTGAATCCAACATATCTCTACAACCCAGGACGCATCAAATGTGAAGGGTAAGTGATATTTTCTATAAATCTCTGAAATCTTATGAATTCTGTTTCTATAATTAATATTAAAATTAGTAACAATGTAAAAACAACAACAATAGATGTCAAAGACGTAAAGCCAGTGGATGTATTTTTTACAGGTTAAATCCTGGGGAATTACAATATGCTCAGACTATGATCTTTGCCATTGAAGAAATAAATAACAGTACAGACCTTCTTCCTGATGTTTCCCTGGGCTATAAGATATATGATTCCTGTCGCTCTGTACTACTGTCTATAAAGGCCTCTTTGGCTCTAATGAATGGGCAAACAAAAGGATTTCTCTCAGAACAGTCCTGTACCAAACCCTCAACTGTTTGTGCTCTCATAGGAGACTCTAACTCCACACCGACCATTGGAATAGCAACCACTGTGGGCCCTTTTCAAATACCACTGGTGAGAAACACTCATTTACTCTGCTAAATAAATAAGTTACGAGATGGGAAAATGCATTTGGAAGTTGGCATGTGGAACTCAATCTTTAAAGTAATCAGAGTTTAAGGTACAGAATATGTCTCTTCTTACGTTTAAAACTACAAGTACAATACAAGGTATTGATAAGGCAAAAGATAGTCATTTTAAATAATCTAATAGCAAAATGCCATAGATCTACACAAACCAGTTCTAAAACGATTCAATGAAATGTCAAGCAAAAACATGGTTATGACTCAATGGTCAAATATTATTCTGTATATTGTCCTTCATCTACATATCACTTTATTTTTCATTTCCTCAGATCAGTCATTTGGCTACCTGTGCCTGTCTGAGTAACAGAAGGGAGTTTCCCACTTTCTTCAGGACAATTCCTAGTGATTATTACCAAAGCAGAGCCCTGGCAAAGCTTGTGAAGCACTTTGGATGGACTTGGGTTGGAGCCATTAGAAGTAATGATGCCTATGGCAACAATGGGATGGCTACATTTGTGGAAGCTGCCCAGAGAGAGGGGATTTGTATTGAATATTCAGAGGCCATTTACAGAACCGATCCCAGAGAAAAACTCCTGAAAGTTGTAGACACTATTAAAAAATCTACTTCGAAAGTAATTGTTGCTTTTGCAGCTGATACGGACATGGATTTATTAATAAAAGAATTATACATTCAGAACATTACGGGTTTCCAGTGGGTGGGCAGTGAAGGATGGATAACATATGGATACCTTGCTTCATCTGAAGGCTATAAAGTCCTGGGTGGGGCCATTGGCTTCGCAATTCCAAATGCTGAAATAGCAGGACTGAAAGAATTTATTCTAAATGCTCGTCCATCAAACACACCTGGAAACAGCAGCTTACAACAGTTTTGGAAGAGTTTTTTCAATTGTAGCCTAACTGATGCAAACACTGAGCCATGTCCAGGAAAAGAGTTTTTGAAAGTGATTAGCGACCAATACACAGACGTGTCAGACATGAGAATATTAAGTAATGTGTACAAAGCAGTGTATGCTGTGGCCCATTCACTGCACAATCTGTTACAATGCAAAAATGGACAAGGACCTTTTTATAATAAAACGTGTGCAAAGAAAGATAAAATAGAACCTTGGCAGGTAAAGAAATAATATCAATATCATATTGTGGTGAATTTGCTACACTATTATTAAGAATGTAAAAAGTAACTGATTCTGTAGACCTTTGGTTTTACTTCTAGGTGCTACATTACTTAAAAAGAATTAATTTCACAATATGGAACACAGAGAATGTCTATTTTGATGAAAATGGAGAGCCAGCAGCACGATACTCATTAGTAAATTGGCAGATGGACAAGAAGGGAATCACAACATTTCAAATAATTGGTCTGTATGATGCCTCTTTACCAGAAAGGCAACAGTTTCTAATGAATGGTGTCAGTGCTGTCTGGGCAGGCGATCAGGATAAGGTAAGATTATCCTCTCTGACATATACAGGGAAAGGGTGCATGTTCAAAAGATACTTGATAATACAATCGTGATCATCAGACTCAACATCGCTGTGTTACAGGTGCCAAAGTCAGTCTGCAGTGAGAGCTGCCTTCCAGGTACTCGTAAGGCCATTGAGAAAGGGAAGCCAGTCTGCTGCTTTGTCTGCATCCCCTGTGCAGAGGGGGAGTTCAGTAATAATACAGGTCTGTTAAAAACATATTATTTTATTTCTAAGTGCAAAGACTACTTACTGCAAATGATAACACCATTTAATTTATGACATTGTATGTATCTTTAGGTAATTTTCTTTTTCATTCTGTTAGATTAGAAGAACTATTATATCTGATTAAGAATAGTTTTTAATTCTTTTTTCTATTACCAGATTCAGTGGAGTGTGCCAAGTGCCCTTTGGAATACAAATCTAATGAACAAAGGAACAAGTGTATCTTGAAAAGCATTGAGTTTCTGTCATTTGGAGATTTGATGGGCATACTTCTAACAGCATTTTCTGTGCTTGGAATTGTCCTAACCATGGTAACAGCTTTTATTTTTTTCCAGTACAGATCTACTCCAATAGTAAGAGCCAATAACTCTGAACTGAGTTTCCTTCTGCTGGTTTCATTGACACTGTGTTTCCTCTGTTCACTTACTTTCATTGGCCAGCCCTCTGATTGGTCCTGTATGTTTCGCCACACAGCATTTGGGATCACATTTGTCCTGTGCATCTCCTGTGTTCTGGGGAAAACAATAGTGGTGTTAATGGCCTTTAGGGCTACACTGCCAGGCAATAATATCATGAAATGGTTTAGGCCAACACAACAGCGGTTAAGTGTTCTTGCTTTCACACTTGTACAGGTCTTGATATGTACTCTTTGGTTGACAATATCACCTCCCTTTCCTTACAAGAATACAAAATACTACAAAGAAAAAATAATTCTGGAGTGTGATATAGGATCACTAGCAGGATTTTGTGCCGTATTAGGGTATATAGGATTCCTTTCTGCAATGTGCTTTATGCTCGCTTTCCTGGCTCGGAAGCTGCCTGATAACTTCAATGAAGCCAAATTCATTACATTCAGCATGCTCATATTCTGTGCAGTCTGGATCGCCTTTATTCCAGCTTATATCAGCTCCCCTGGGAAGTTCACAGTAGCTGTGGAAATATTTGCTATTTTAGCTTCAAGTTATGGGTTACTTTCATGTATTTTTATGCCAAAATGTTACATAATTTTATTAAAACCTGAAAAAAATAGCAAAAAACATTTAATGGGTAAAATCCCCACAAATCTTGTCTCGTAAATTAGCCAAAGCTTTGTATTTATCTGAAAACCATCCATCCTTCATCAGAAAGCTTGTTAGTCCTGGTGAGGTTTCATAGCATTCCAGAAGAAACCATAAGACACAAGGTAAGATGCACTCTGGATGAGACATCAGCATACAGTACAGTACGTAACTCTTGAAGTGTTGTAAAATGTTAAATCTAATCAGTAGTTTTGTATTATAGCTGTAAACAAATATGAGGTGTCAAGTGTGAGAAGACACACATTTTACAAATTGAATATTTCTATTTGAGGCTACATCTCATTTGTTTCTTCAAATGAAACAAAATGTATAAATTCTAAAATCATTCACAAATGTTTATACGTCTATACTTAGAGAGAGCTCATCAATCTAAAACATATTTAACATGTTTTCCCCTTAAATTGGTACTGTACCCATTCCTGAATTCAGCTTTGTCTTTTATGCCAATATTAAAACTCTCCCTCAGTAATGCAATGTGTCTAATGTGGGTTCTTCCTCTTGTGAACAGATTTTTCTGTAAATACTTTTTTATGATTCTAATAATAATAACTGATATATCTACATGCACACAAATGAGTTCAGTAGCTATCTGTTCTGCATTCACATACTGTATTTTTGTTTTAAATGATGTGTCTTTCAAAACACTGTGAGCCCACAGGTACCTATCTAGTGCCAAAGGTTGGAGTTGAGCAAAGAACTGAGGAAAATCTACCCAGCTCAATATGCAGCATCCAACATCTGCAGCATTTGACCAATTATTTGCTGCCATGTGGGAGTCCTAGTTCCTGTCAGCTAATAGCACTGCCCAGCCTTGATCGACTGATGCCAGTATAAGGTTCAATCTGTCCTCTAAAAAGCACCCCCGATGGGTGAGCTACTTGGAAGCCTTTGTTTGCCTTAACACTTTGAAAGAAGGTCATTTCTACACATTGGTAATTTTGGTAATTACCTCACCAGCAGCACCACCAGTTATTACCAGATACTTCAGCCCTGCCCTGTCCACGGTCAGACACTCTGTAATTGTGTTTTCTTCCTGTGGAAAGAAGTGCTCCTTGCACAAACCAGCTTTCCAATTATTCGCCCTGCACTCCACTTGCACCCCTCTGGACACTTCTATTCAGAACCCTTAGCCAGGGCCTGATGACCATCTGGTTTCCCGTCTGTTTGCTAGTTTGTCCATGAGTGCAAACAGCATTGTTAGCAACCTCCCTGACCTTTCAGACCTTACCCATACAGATATCACTTCCTGTTCATTTCCAATCGGTGGAGGAACAGACTGGGTCGCACAATGTAGACCCTATTGCGCCAACCATTCAGTTGGGGATAGTGATACATTTGGGCCTAACCAGTCCCATTGGAGACCACAGAGACCAAGTGCCAACACTTCAACATCAGCCCTGGATCTGTGGTTAGACTTGACTGTGATGGCTCAGCTCCAGGCTGAGGGCCAAGTGCTGTGGCTGTTGGTGATACAGAGGGCAGGGTACCCACAACCCTCTGGGACACCTTGGAGTTGTAAGATAGAGTGCTGTTTCGCTCCTCTCCTAGAGATTGTATATGGTGTTCCAACAAGACACGTTGGATTTTAATGAAGAGTAAGGGGGCTTTAGGTTCCCCATGGAGAGATATTTTGGTGATGAGGAGAGGTCTGGGTACACAGGTCTATCATCATATTGCAAAGCCTCCAATACATCTGGCCTCCATGATCTGGCTCCATGACAGCTCTATGGGGCAGCCTAGACTATTCAAAAAAGACATTCTGACCTCAGGCAGGGGAAGTGTAGAGGGTATGGGATGCAGGAGCGCGTGCTGAGACTCTGACTCCCAGGGGGGCATCTTCACAGAAATAATCTGTGCTGGGCAATGTTTAGTGGAAGTTTGGTTGTTGACCATGCAACACTTTAAGTCACATCAATGGAGTAGTTACAGTATAAACAAGTATTTCCTGGGCTTGGAGTGTCTGTACTGTAATAGATCGGGTGACTTGTTTTTGCTCTACATGCCAATTTGCCTGTATTTGAGCTTATCTTGTTTGGTAAAACAAAGGTGCTTTAGACAGTAACTTCTAAGAGGCGTCCCATGTCACATGCTAACTAGGGGTACAGCAATGTTTTTCTTTATTCTTATTAACTTTTGACTACCAGTGATTTCTTATGGGAATATGTTCATAAGGGCAGAGATTAAATTATTGTCCTGGGGCAACATGAAAATCAAACCTTTGAGAATTCTTGCTTAACAGTGTCTGAACTTCTCTCAGTCTTGATCTAACCACCCCTGAGACTTCTCGCACAGTATAAAAGACAACAAATGATAGTATTGTGTATTATACCCAGGTCGAGGTGTCTCTGTTCATTATAGAATGTTATTACGAGCAGCAGTACTGATGTTTGGTGCTGTTTTGAATGCAGCAGAACACCCTGTTTGCAGGATTCAGGGGAGAGCTGCTTTTCCACATTTAACTAGTGAAAGAAACATTATGATTGGTGGCATGTTTTCGATCCATAGCAAGACTGACGACAAAATGCATCCTTTTACAGCCAAGCCAGAGCCTTCAGAATGCAAAAGGTCAGTGGGGAAAAATATTCCATTCATCCATCCATTTTCTAACTGCCTGATCCAATTCGGGGTCATTAGTATTATTATAGTAAAACTATAAAATACAATAGTAGTTATGCTTTTAAGTAGCATTTTAAGTAATTTTAATTTTAATTATTTTATTTTTAATGCATTTATAATAATAGAAATTCTGAATGTTTGTCTTTGGCTTACATTAATCTGAAATAAAATGTGGTGATTTAAACATTCAGAATCTGATTTATATACATATATACATGGGTATAGTTCGGGCTTGAGCCCTAGGCCAGCTGGGCTAGCCTCCAGCTTGCTGGAACTCTCCATAGGATGAAATAGCTATGAATAATAGATGTTTATAGCATTTTTATTTCAACCTATATGTAATTCTGAATTAAATTTCCTTAAGCATAAAACTTTCATACAATTTATTTTTTCCTAGTCTAAATTTCAGAGAATTTCGATTTGCTCAGACAATGATCTTCGCTATTGAAGAAATAAACAACAGGACAGATCTTCTTCCTGGAGTTTCTTTGGGGTATAAAATTTATGACACGTGTGGCTCAATACCTTTGTCCATAAGAGCAGCCATGGCTTTAATGAATGGAAATGAAGAAACTCTCTCTGACACCTCCTGCTCCAGACCAGCTGCAGTTCAAGCTATAATTGGAGAATCTGGATCATCACCATCCATAGCAGTGTCCTCAGCTGTTGGACCTTTTCAGATTCCTTTGGTAAGATGTGCATGTTTTTTAAAACACATATTGCATTTAATTTTTTTATCTGGATCATACAATTCTTGGAGTGAGTACTCCTTTACTGGTTGGGTCAATAGCTAGCCCCACATCAGATTGTTTAATTGTTTAATATATCTTTAGGTTATTTGTTTTATGTATGCTTCAAAACTACTTGGAAACCATTGTTTCATTGTATAAAATCATTTTTTCCTTTGCTTTTCAGATAAGTCACTTTGCTACTTGTTCTTGCTTAAGTGATAAAAATGAGTTCCCTACATTCTTCAGAACCATCCCCAGTGACTATTATCAGAGCAGAGCCCTGGCAAAACTTGTGAAGCATTTTGGATGGACCTGGGTTGGGGCCATTAGAAGTGACAGTGATTATGGCAACAATGGGATGGCTACATTTGTACAATCTGCCCAGCAAGAGGGGATCTGTATAGAATATTCAGTAGCCATTTACAGAACGGATCCAAGAGAGAAAATTCTCAAAGCCATTGATGTTATTATGAAGAACACAGCAAAGGTTATTGTGGCCTTTCTTGCTCAAGGAGAGATGGCTGTTTTATTAAAAGAATTATCACTTCAGAATGTGACTGGTTTCCAATGGGTTGGCAGTGAATCATGGATAACTGCCCGAAACCTGGCCACACTAGAAGGTTACAAGATTTTGGGAGGTTCTATTGGATTTGGCATCAGAAAGACCAAAATCGATGGGTTAAAAGATTTTCTGTTGAATGTCCGTCCATCTCAGATTCCTGAAAATACTCTTGTAAATGAGTTTTGGGAAACTGCTTTTAGATGTTCCTTTTCACAAAAAGAGAATACAACAAACAGAAAGTCATGTACAGGATCTGAAAGCTTGGGAGAAATAAACAACCAGTATACAGATGTGTCTGAACTGAGAATATCCAATAATGTGTATAAAGCAGTGTATGCTATAGCTCATTCACTGCACAATCTGCTTGAGTACAATAAAATACACAGTGTTTCTACCAACTTTAGTATGGCACAAGAAATTGCAGTTGCGCCATGGCAGGTAATGGAGTTTTACAATATATTAAATTGCCCAGGAGCAGCCAGCTTTATTTCTAAAAAATATCCCAATAAATTGCCTTTACTTTGTTTGCACAGGTTCTAGAGCAACTTAAAAATGTGAACTTCACCTTAAAAACTGGTGAGCAAGTCTTCTTTGACGATAATGGAGATCCAATTGCAAGATATGAATTAGTGAACTGGCAGCTTGTTAATGAGAGCAATACACTGTTTATGACTGTTGGATACTATGATGCTTCTCTGCCAGCAGCTCAACAGTTTGTCATGAATCACGTCAACATTGTGTGGGCAGGTGGTGAACATAGGGTAAGAGATGCACAGCCAGAAAAAAATGTAAAAAGCATTACATTTTACATTTATGATTTACTATGTTATTACTGAGAGTAATGAGGACAAGAAGTACAGTACTTGCAGATAATTTTTAAATATATAATAAAATATTTTTTGTGGATAGCTGAATATTCATTTTAATTTAAGGTTGGAAGTTTAAACTACATGGTTTTGTAGCAGGATATATTGTATATTAAATTATTGTTTTCATTTTGTAAGTATTATATGGGATATTTTCCATGTAACCAATCACAAATAATTAATATTTTGAGGTTTGCAACATAATATCTTTACACAAAAAAATCCAATTGTATTTTGAAATGTACAAATGTCTTCTTAGAATCTCTCTTATTCTATGTAAGACAAAATCTGGTTTTCATTATTTTACTTCTTGAGTTTCATGTAAATTCTCTTGTGTACTTGATCTTTATGAGCATAAATGCAGGAGCAATATGCTACAATTCAATAGTCAGCAGTACGTATCATACTAATTTCTGCAGATATGCACTGTGTTGTTTCTTGTTTCTATGCAGAAGCCTGAGTCAGTGTGCAGTGAGAGCTGTCTCCCAGGCACTCGAAAGGCAGTTCAGAGAGGAAGGCCTGTGTGTTGCTATGACTGTATTCAGTGTGCTGAAGGAGAGATCAGCAATACTACAGGTAAACAGCATTGTTTGAAATGCAAACATAACAGTATTTTAACAGTATTTTTTACATAAGTAGTATTTTATGTTACTGTATACTGTATATACACTGATGTACACAGATTTCTCCATTTAATCATTTTTTTTCTCTTATCACTGGTGTCATGATGCATAAGAGAAGTTTTGTAACATCGTGCTTTTCTAAGTAGTTTAAGAAAAGAAGAGAAAAGTGAACAAAAACTAAGAATAATTTTTAAGGATTACTGTTTTAATACACTGAAAAAGGAACACAAATTAAATATGACAGGTACTTCTATGCAAACAGAAATTTAGAATTATCAAGGGGCTGGTATTGCATGTAGAATAACAAACAACCATGGAATTTATAAATAGGAACATTATTATATTTTTATCCATATTTTTTCTGTTTCCCTGAATTAGATGAATAAAATGTTATTGTCCTTACATCCTTAAAATTGCCTTCACTTTTCTTGCAGACTCTATCATTTGTATTCAGTGTGATCTGGAATATTGGTCAAATGGAAAAAGAGACAAATGTATATTGAAGGCCGTTGAATTTTTATCTTTTGAAGAAATTATGGGAATACTACTTATAATTTTTTCATTGCTTGGCGTTTTGTTAACCTTCGGTGTAGCATTGGTTTTCTTTCAGCACAAGCATACTCCCATTGTCAAAGCCAATAACTCTGAACTGAGTTTCCTTCTGCTCTTTTCATTGACTCTGTGTTTCCTCTGTTCACTTACTTTCATTGGCCAGCCCTCTGACTGGTCCTGTATGTTGCGCCACACAGCATTTGGGATCACATTTGTCCTGTGCATCTCTTGTGTTCTGGGGAAAACAATAGTGGTGTTAATGGCCTTTAGGGCTACACTGCCAGGCAATAACATTATGAAATGGTTTGGGCCCAAACAGCAGCGATTAAGTGTTCTTGCTTTCACCCTTATACAAGTCTTGATTTGTGTTCTCTGGGTGACAATATCACCTCCTTTTCCTTATAAGAACATGAAATACTACAAAGAAAAAATCATTCTGGAGTGTGACCTGGGATCTGCAGGTGCATTCTGGGCTGTGTTGGGGTATATAGGATTCCTCTCTGCCTTGTGCTTTGTGCTCGCTTTCCTGGCTCGGAAGCTGCCTGATAACTTCAATGAAGCCAAATTCATTACATTCAGCATGCTCATATTCTGTGCTGTCTGGATCACTTTTATTCCAGCTTATATCAGCTCTCCCGGGAAGTTCACAGTAGCTGTGGAAGTATTTGCAATATTAGCTTCTAGTTTTGGTTTACTCTTTTGTATTTTTTCTCCAAAATGTTATATTATTTTATTAAAGCCACAGTATAACACAAAGAAAAATATGATGGGGAAACCTTAATTAAAAAATATTTTAGGAATTATACATTATTGGGATATTTTAATATGTTAGATGTTCTATTCACAGAGTGTATTGCTGAATAATGTGAAGGATAATATATGCTAACATTCTGTTATTAAAATAAAAATATTAGAAATAACCTGAATGTTTTCCTTAAAAGTTACATACACTGTATACTGTTTTTTTCTTTCATAACACATACAAAGATGTATGTGACTTCTAGTAAAATCCAGGGTTATGTCCCCTTACTTCACTCCAGTCACCTGCTTTACTGCAATACACACTTAACAGTATCACATTTTGTCACATTTAAGAGGTTTTCAGAGAGGTGCTTTCGCACATTGTTAAGTCAATCACCCAACAGCCGTTTTCTCTGGAAACAGAAGCAGTGCTAATAATACTGCAGCAATTTCTAAAGGTAACCAGTGCTTTGTGAGCTAGGGCATCGGGTTCTCCAATCTGTATATGATAACAGTAACTATATTCTGCTTTCCACAGGCCATATACACAACTGCTCTCCATTCAAACTCTGGATAAAACTCTGTGGACTTTTTCTGAAATGTGCACTGTGGACTTGCATTGTATATTATTTATTCAGAATTAACTTGGATTTTATTATTCTGAAAATCAAACAAAAGTACTATAACATTTAAAGTTATGTACAGTACATATATACTGTAATTTTAAAAAACCTTGCACAACCTTTACTTAACCACAACGGAGCTGTCATGGATGAAAGAAAAGAACATCTGTCATACTAATGCCACTGCGACTGTTACTATGACTGTAACTCATACTGATACTTACAACAACAATAAAAAAATAAAATCTGAGAAAATCTGAGAAAAGGCAACTGACATAATTTCTTCTTCTCAAATATACTGTACTTATCAAAACAGTAAAGTTAATTATTAGGTTATGTTTTTGTTCTAGACTTGTAGAATCAGAAAGGGGGTTAAAGTGATGTGAGTGTAAAATGTTACTGATAGCATCTTAAATGTGCATTTATGCATTTTAATAAGATATAAGAAATGTACTGAGTTAATCTAAATAATAAGATTAATTTATTAATTTTATTATATTTTTTAAAACTAGTTTCACCAGTTCTTTGACTGAAAATCTTCCATTAGGGAAATACAGTACAGGGAATTACTGAAGTTTTATTCCATGAAACAATTTCTATGACCTAAGCATTGTTCTTCAACAATGAGAACAAAAACAAACATGGGAGTAAACTACAGTGATGCAGAAAAACAACAGCAAAGTCTAATAAAATTAAACAAACTGTTTCTTTCAAGATATCATATACATTTTCAGACATCTTCAAAAAATCATTATCATAACTTTGTTTTGTTTAAAAAAGTTCTGTACTGTTGCAATACTGACACCTCTGTAATTAAACTTAAAGAATAGTACACCAAGCAATTCTGTGAGAATCTGTGGTGATGTTTAACATCAGCACTGTAATTCCTTATTACCCTGCTACTACTGTATAAATGCTTTGTTTGTAATAGCATCATCTTCTCCTTAAAGTAACAAGACATACTGTATATATTTAAAGAATTTAAGTAGAATCATTTTTACCTCAGTTGATAGTGCAGTAATTATAAAGCACGTTCCTGACTTACAGTGCAAATCCCATGATTATTATTCGATAGCTCTGTTTCCCTTAGTGGATTAAAATGCTGAATTTACTTCTGAGGATAAATGTGTTTCCTGAGGGTAAGAATCTTTCCATTCACCACCTGAGACTCACCGTGTACTACTGTATATATAAGCACATTGAATCACTGGACTGTGACTTCGAGGAGAAAGACCATTTTGAAATGTTGCTCTTGGTGGAAGTAACATTGACTGCTTTTCTCATCAGAGCAGAGAAGCCTATCTGCAACTCAGAAGGGGGAAAAGAGCCCCCCATCCTTTCACAAGAAGGAGATGTTATAATAGGAGGAGTCTTTTCATTTCATGACCACCTTGTAGTTGAAGAGCAATCATTTACAACTGTGCCTGGTGCTTTAAAATGCAGAGAGTAAGTAGAAGTTCTTTAATAATGTAAATTCTACTAAAAGCTATATTAATCATAAGTTAGAAGCTGAAAATTTTTCTCGAACTTTTCCCTGTCTTTTCAAATGGATAAAGTGCATCTTAAAATATACTGTATGTTTTTAATTTGTTATTATTAAATAGTGCATTTTTGCTAATACTTCATATTTCATTTTTTGATATTAAGGTTTGTGTTTTTTTCACAGTTTATTTATAAAGGAATATCACGTAGCTCTGGCTATGATCTTTGCCATTGAAGAAATAAATAACAGTTCAGAAATTCTTCCTGGTGTATTATTGGGTTATAAGATATATGATGCTTGTGGTTCCACATCTTTGGCTATAAGGGCAGCAATGGCTTTAATGAATGAGCCAGCAGAAGCACTTCAATCAGACCAGTCCTGCAACAAGACCTCCTCTGCTATTGCAATAATAGGGCAATCTGGATCATCACCCACCATTGGAGTTGCAACAAGTGTGGGACCCTTTCATATACCTGTGGTGAGTAGCATATTACTTATATTTCTTCTGTTTCTCTATGCCACTGTCAATTCAGAGAAAAAACCCTTAATTGTTCATTACTATCATACCTTTCTTATATCATTGCTTTTCTATCATTGCTTATCATTCTGCATACATAGATTGTATGACAGGTAGGTATCTTCCATCTGTCTTTCTCTTTTGAAAATGTATCAGTTTACTAGAATAATAATAATAGTCAAACAATCAAAATAAACACAGAATGTTTTTCACAGATTTTTTACAAGAAAAGCTGAAAAAAAGAACTTCCATTATTTCTTATACTCTATTTTTTCTCTTTTATTACAGGTAAGTCACTTTGCGACATGTTCTTGTCTCAGTAACAGAAACAAGTATCCCACATTTTTCAGAACCATCCCCAGTGACTATCATCAGAGCAGAGCCCTGGCAAAGCTTATGAAGCACTTTGGATGG